TTTTCTGCTATGTAATTTACCATATAAAGTGAATATGAGATAAGAGATGTGACATGATACCACCCAAAATATAACATATTTCAGAGTTTCCCTTTTCTCTTTGGTATTTCTTAGTAATATTAGGTAAATGTGACATATCTGCATGCAAATAGGTCCAGAGATGTCAAATTCTTGACTTATATTTTGTATGATGGGGGAAATGTGATAATACAGCTATTAACTAAAAAATGGAACCAAAATATACATGTGTAGCAGCTATAAAGAAAATATAAATTACCAGGCACAAAATATGTAGTCAACTTTGAAAAATAAGAACAAACTTTATGTTATCAGCTTTAGGAAAAAAAACCTCAGTTCTTCATTTTCATGTCAACTATAAGGAAATACTGTTTTCCTCTGGCTAAACATTTCAGATATAGTAATGAAAAAGAAAAGACTACATTGCTCTGCATACCGACTGTCACTATGTAAAATTTACTAACTGCTAAAAAGGTCTTGACAGTTTAACCCTCTCCCCTACACCCTTCTGTGGTATTTACAAAACCATCTGCTAGTTCTGTGTATCAATTTATACTTCATCAGGAAAAAAGATTTGGAGGTTTTGTTTTAAGATATAATTTCCTTCTGCAAAGGGATGTTTTCAAATGAATGGGATCACCTATTAGGGTTGAGATTCTTTAGCCTTTTGGTAGACCTGACATACCCATTATTTAAGGGTCTCTAGGCAACTGACTCAGCAGTCATTAGAAGTATAGTAGTTGCTTAATAAAGCCCATTTATGTCCATTATAGCCTGTAACAGGTTTGCAGAGAATGCAGGATAAAAGGAAGATATTATTTAGTTTTCATGTTACAAGTAAAACAAACCGAGAAACAATAACCTGGAGATGAAAGTATCCTTCCTACAAATCAAACACAAGGATTCACTTTGCTAGATTTACAGAAGAGAAATAGTCCATTTTCCTCATTATCACTCACCATTCACCAAATACTGCTTTGTTAAAATGTTTCTATTAATTAATATGAATAACAGTGTGGCAGTCTTCATTTAAGATTAAGAAACAAAACAGAAAGCCAGTTAGTGTGGCAGCTCTCCCTAGAGAGAAGAGGAAGCACAAGACAGGAAGAATGACAGGGAGGCATCCTGTGAGTTATGCGGCCCTGGAAATGAGGCTTTAGGGCTGCTGTGCTCCGCAAATTGCAGCCTTCATGAGGATGCCTGTTTTCCAAATGCCTCTTTCCACCAACACATTTTCAGTCTAACATTTGTCAAACCTCTTCTTTTGTTAAGAGTTAACTTGTCAGTTTTTAAAATGGCTTGCAGTTTCTTTCCACCTTCCTTGATGGAAATGTGAAAAGTGTGAGTTACTCCCTTTCACAAAGAATCTTGTCAAGGATCCTGACTCCAATCTGACTTCTCCTCCTGGGGAAAAAAATCTACCTCTGGAAACTTAACAAGTGGTGACTATTCTATCATAATTCTGCTTCACAGAAATAAAAGAGGTCACGCAAGGGAAAAAAACACCAAATGAAGAGTTGAAGGTGACAGAGTAACTCAACAATGTTTGACGATGTTAATGCACAGAGTTAGTCCTCAATGGCTGGGCTGAGCAAATGATTTTACTTGAACACGGCGATTAACTTATAATGAATGAACAATGCAATGACACCAGCCAATATGACCCCTTTGTCCAAAGTATGAGAAATGAACAAAGGCAATCTCCACCTGAGGAATGATGAGGAGGACATGATGAATGCCCAAGATATACTCAAGAGAACAATCTCCCAAAGAACCATATCTCAACATCCCCCCGCCACACCGACCCACATCTCCCCCTGTTTAATTGCACAAATTCCTATCTTCATCAACCTAAGTCCTCTTAAAGTATTTTAATTCTTCCTAAGCACTGACTTCACTGTTTTGTTTCAAACGGCCACATCTCCTCCTGGAGTCCATTAGCGTTTAGAAACCAGATAATCCATCTTCTCTGCCTGTCGCTGCTCTAGACTCAGAAGGCCTTTGAGGATGTGCTTAGAACACGAAAGTCACTGTGAAAGTCAACCACAGATGTGAAGGAAAATGAAACGTGCTGGTGAGTTCTTTACTGCTTTCACTTAGATAATGGGTTAATATATACTAAAGTAAAATAAGAGAGAGGGAGAGATTCATTGGTATTTTCAGTGCCAAAACAAAGCTAAAATATGCTTTCTTGGTAGACTAAAGATTTATGTATAAATTAAAGGATTTTTTTCTCCTGGAACAGATATGTGTCTTATATAAAAATAGACAAAGTAACAATTAGAAACTATAGGTTTTAAAAAAGAGGATCTACGACTAAGATACTGAATGTGAAATATACTTTTTAAAACAAATATGATTCTAATGAATTACCTCGTTGAGGACTGCCACATGTACAACTTTTAAAAAGCAGCCAAGTACCTGCTAATCAGAACAGTATTTTTTAGATGGGGAGGATACTGAATGTTCTAATTATGAAGTGGCTGCTTCTAAAAAATTAAAGAATTACCATCCGTTCTACTTACATGATGATACACTAATACATATCTATTCACATAAAAATAAGCCTTAATTTTTTAAAAAGTATATATTAATAATTACATCTACAAAATCAGCGTGAGTCATATAAAAGAGTACCTCAAATTAAAAAATCCATGAAATGCAATGGTGGCATTTTTGTACAAATATTTTAAGAAAAAGACTAAGAGTGTGACTTACTGTCTTACACAGTTAATAGTCCATGCTTTTGGGTAACATGTCTGAGAAAGGAATGAAGTTAACTGGAAAGTGTAAGAAGCACAGAAAAGCTGATACATACACATGGTTAACACAGAGGAGGAGCAAGGAGAACTGGTGGGGCCTCCCCAGTGTCCCACCCTCCAGGAGCTCATGGCAAGTGTATTCCCTCAGCAGAGACTCATGGAGATTCCTCTAAAAGCAGGTACTGATGAGGTACTGACCAGTATCCCTAGAAAGGGGACAATGGCTCTTGTATGCTTTAGTTTTGTAATGTCAATTTAACTGTTAAAAAGATGATATAATTCTCCATTAGGGAATCAAACACAAAAAAGAAGCTAGTAGGCAAACTGCTTAGATTACTCTGATCTCAAGTATAGGATGCCAATAAGAGGTAAGAACATACATATACATCAAATATGTTATAGATTAAAAATGTTGTGTCACATATTTCTTTCTCAAACAACCCACCAAATAACTCAATCAACACAGGACTCCATACAGAGTCCTAGCCATGTTCAAATAAAGAGAAATAGCTTTGAATAGTATATGATGGTGATTAATGACCTAAAAATGATTGAGGGAAAACAAAAATGCATAAACTCACAATTTATACTTTAAAAATGAAATTAAAATTGAAAACACTTTTATATGTAATATATTCTAATTCCCTGTTAATTATCAATTACTGCATGGTAAGCTAAAAATTTGTTAACCAAAATAATAAACAGAATATGATCCCTAATTCCACATTAATAGGATCTTGGTTTGTGTATTTTTCATATATTTCTTCTGACTGGTTTTCTAAAAACATACCCTACTCTACATAGCTTCCCATTCACTAATAAGAAATTAGAACCTTATCTAAAACCCATGACAGTAATGATTAACAGTTTAAGAGGAACAAAATGAACAATAATCGCTAACTTGCAATAATATTTTCACACATTTTCATAATTTACTAATTTCCAAGGAAGCAGTACAGTCATATTTAAAAAAACTCTGCATCTGCTTAATTGCACATATCTATGTGGCTCATAAAAGAATCACACACACATCCTATATGCCCCTCACTTTTCTCTTAGGATAATTGCGTATGTCACAGTATTATCTTAACAGAAACCATACTGTAAACTGCTTTCATAAATGAGGACATGTTATCGTTTTGGCAACTTAGTCTTTTCAGTTTTAATGCCATTGCTGCTCTCAGCTTCCGGTCTCTGTGATCTGTCAGTCGGTGACAGAGCCCCACAACTGGCCACGCACAGGTGTGGACTCTTCCCTGCAATGCAACACTGCCCACAACCCCAGCACAGATTGTGTGAGAGCAGTGTTGGGGGGAGAAGGGGCATTTTCCTGATACCATAAAAAGGGAACTCCTATCTAATAAGAACTGTAATGTCACTCCAGCTCCTTTCTAACAGCAGAATGTTAAACTCTCAAAAGTTGGTAGTGGGCACAAAAGCAATTTAAACCTATGGAATCTATTAGACTTTACTGCATTTGCTTAAAACTAGAGGTGACAGGACTTGAGACAACATATTGTTCCAACTTCTAGGTGGTGGTAGGGAGGGAGGGAAATATAACAGAAACGGTGACAACAGAGCAGGTGGGAATGAAAGAAATCCTTTGAATCGTGACACACTGACGACGAAAGAGGAGGGAATGGTCTAGTTTTAGGGTGGGCTCCCCACAGTCATGCTCGACCCCAGACAAGGACATGGAGGATTTTAAAGCTGTGGCTGTAAGCTAGTTCAGCCCCCTGTTTCAGCCTTTTCTTTTTCTCAGAGAGAGATTACCACCTCACTAGAGTAAAAACTATTGAAGAATAGAAGGATGCTTTCCTAGTATTAGCTTCTGATTATACAAATAAACTGCTGAACAATTTTGTTCATAACATTTGTTATTCTTTGCATTCAAAGGACAAAAAGTTCTGATCTTAATGTAGTTGATGAATTTCCTTAGTGCTATGAATATTCAACGAATAGCTTAAAAAAATTCCAAATAAAATCGGTATAAACTCCCTTTGAAAATGTCAATCAAAAATAATCTATAAATAACATATCTAGATCTAAAAATAATCTATAAATAATAATCGCTACATGTGGGTTATTAACAAAATGTTTAACAATGCTATGAGTTAACTGCTACTAATATGACAATTCATATGGTAGTTTTTTAAAAAGACATAATTACAAGTACTATAAAACCGCTGTCTACTATTTAGAAAATTATAGTCTACTTACTATTTGTATGTTTCAGAACGGATGTATTCAAAAACATGGGACACGCCAAGCTGGAATTGGTCAGCAATCGGGGTAACCCAGGGATTGTTCTCTGCTTTGAATACTTGCTTCTGACCAGTTAAATCCAAGTTTCCTGAAAATATGGAAGAAAAAATGGTGTCATTTTACCCAACACAAATCAGGTCTAAGAAGTTCTACCAGTAATCACAGTACAACCAGAAGTTCTTTTGGGTTACTGGATTTGATTTTTGAAAAATTTCTTACCTTAAGTCATCATTGGCGCACAAATACTGACAGGTAGTTTCCTTGCCTGAGAGATTAAGAAAAATGGTAGGGAGAAAAAAGGAAGCAAGGAAAAAGAAAGGGGGCAGGGAGAGGAGCTAAGTAAACCTGGAAGGAATTCTCGCAAATATGGCATATGCCTTATTTTTCTAGGTGTTTGCTACAGAGACTGAAATGGCTGAGAGAGGCAATAATATCAAAATCTGCTGAAATTCTATCTTAACAATGTTCATCACTGCTTGCCCAATATGATCGAAACCCAATCTGATCAGTGCCATTTTTTTATCAGCCAAAGTAGAACAGTGAAGGAAGATAAGAATATTACACAAGTAAAATCATTATTGTATTACTCAGCTACTAGAAGCATATCTCAGAATCAGTACTAAATGAATCTCATTAACATGGTAATGAGAGATACTCATATATAGCTCTTACCAGTTTACAAATTATCATTTTTTAAAAGCATTTCTACATTTGATTCTTCAGTAATTGCTAAGGTCAGTTATTAACATCATTTTATAGGGAAAGAAATGGAAACTTACAAAAAATTAAGTAATATGTCCAAGATCAGAAAATGTCAAGCTTGGGATTTGAAACTAAGACTCCTGACTCCAAAACTCATATTCTTTCTACAATTCCTGGTGACGCTATCAGGTTACATGTCAATCTAGATCAACCAAGGATGAATTATCATGAAAGTAGCAAAAAAAAAGTCAGCAAGTGCCACGTATCTGGATATTAACTGTTGATGATTTGTTGACTCTACTTTTTTTCTCCTGCTTGGTATGTTCAAAAATGGGAAAAACAGTGTTTGAAAGAACTTTCTATAACATGCCTGACTATGAGAGAGATAGTGACAGGGAAGTTAAGCAGCAGCTATTCATGTGGTTTTATTTGGCAGCAGACACACCAAACTCCTTCTCCTAAAGGGATAAAATTCATTTTCAAACTCTTGGTTTACAGACCAAGATTTTTTTGAACATAGTCAACATCCAGCAATTCTTCTTCCTAAGACCAAAGTAACATATTTATCCTCTTTTGAGAGTTCACTGTCAATTTTGTCATTACTGATGACTCAGGATAAGGAAAATGCATTTTGTGATGCAAGTATACCATAAAGCACATAAGCTTTATGTGAGTTTTAGAAAATGAATAGGTAAATTAATATTTTATAAGATAATGCAATGTTTATTCATAAAACAAAAGAATGGATACTTCAAATCTTTCTCGTTTTTGTTATATGAACTTATAACTATTTAGAAAAATAGAGAAAGACCAATAAATGATTTCAAATTTATAAAACAATTTTAAAGAGGTATATCAAATATCAAGAGCAAGTAACTCCTCATGATCTTCCCAAAGCTACTTTAATTTTTTTTTGTTTTAAGCACAGAAATAAGCAGATACATTTCTCTCTGAGATGATCAATATTGTCAATTTTCACATCTTAATGGTGAAACATCATTAGTCAATATTAAATCATTTGAGAAATTAATGGGCTTTACTGTCTAAACCATGGGATCAGAAAACAGACTAGGGCAAATACAAATCCAAAAGTCACACACATTCTGTTTAGCTGGGTCTTTTACTGTCCATAATGGGCTGTCCTTTATCTTTTTAAATCTTCACTTGGTTTTAGGGGGCTTTAGCTTCCCAAGAGTGAAACTGATCTCTTGTTTAAATAATTAAATGATCTCTTAGGATCTCATTTGCTATAATCTTTGGCCTCTTTTCCATGTCATTTGTTCCTTAATGCTTTTTCTTCCATTTCTACTTTTCCTACAAATGAACATAAGAGAATTTCTGGGGGAAAAATCCTTCACTTCAAAACATGCCTTAAGTGTCCTGGTTTACGTGCACAGTGTATACTTTTCCTACTATTCAGGGACCCAAGGCCACTGAGGAAGTGCCTCCTTACCAGACAACAGTAACCATGGCACAGCTATTCACTAATACGTTGGAAGTAGAAGCCTAAAGATGAACACAGTTCTTTTAAAACATCCACAGAATAGCCAGTCCGTGCTCATTATATACTGTCATCTTCCTGCCTCCAAAGTCTGCCCACTAATATCAGCATAGAATCAACTATGGGAAAAAGGAATAACTGAGATCTTTGGAAAAACATTTGCATTCCAAAGTGGATGAGAAAAAAAGCAAGCATGGGCTGGGGGGAAACCATGAGACATATAAACTGCATATAGAGGTGAACCAAAAGGGGATCTCCCTGTGAGTGACTACTGTGGTTAGCTTCCCCCCACCACCCCCTCATTAATCTAAAGAAAAACACAGTGCTAATTTCTAATGGGTATTTCATCTGTTCAAAAATCATCCACAACACACTGTCATTCACATGAAGGAACTCAAATGAAATGCTTTCCTACTAACCGCTGGTTCAGACAAGGATTACAAGAATTATGGTTTGGGGGTGGTGAGGTGGAGAAGAGTGGGAAGACTTGGGAAGGTGGCCATGTGTGCAACACAGGGCATTTCTCACCACACTGCATTTTCAGGGTGCTGGGTCCATGTGAGAGCAATGTGGACCAGAAAAGGCTCTGGGAAGGAGAGACACAAGTCTCAGCTATTCCAAATTTGCTCAGGGATATTCCATAGGTGAGTGTGGGAAAAAACAAATCACTAGCTCCCTTCTACCAAGGTCCAAGGTTAGCCCCAATAATCCAAAAGGCCAGGTATGTTCTTGAACTAATTAAGGTGCAGGTGCATATTCCTGTAAGAGGGAACTTGCATTCCACACCTATCCACCCACAAGCCCACTTTGGAAAGCACAACCTCTTGCCAACTTATTAGCAAGTCTTACTAATAAGCCTGTAGATTTTTTAATGGCAATCTTCCGAAAATAATGTACTAAATTCTATGTTCCCCAGTTGCCACATACAGAAGACAGACCTAAGGGAATAACACCAAGAAAGGTCAGCCGTGTTCTCTAGGCCCTTTTGTCTGAAGACTCGAACCCCTGGAGATCTGTCAATCGCAGGCAATGTCTCCATTTAAGTGCTGTCAATGGAGACAGAGAGGCCAGGGGGATTGCTAATGACATCTGCTAAATGGAGCAAGTGGGAAATGCTTGATGCCAGCTAGACACACTCCCTTCAGGGAAAAGGAGTCCTTTATTTTTCTTTTTACTGAGTTAACATTAGTTCACAACACAGTATAGGTTGCAGGCACACAGCTTCTCACTGCAGCGACTGTATATATCATACCACGTCCACCCCAGATGTCTAATACACTGATGTCTGAAAGTTGGGGTCCACAGACAGGGCCACAGGCTTCTCCTGAGCATTTTCACTTGACATACTCACTGGACGGGGGAAGAATGGGGGTTACCTTTCCCCATCCCCATTTGTTGATTATCGTATCACACAAGGCTACTAAATCAAATTCTCAGGTGCTTCATGGAGCCTAACAGAAAAGAATGATTCAAGTTCACTGGAGGGAGGCGGGGGCCGGGAAGAGACCAAACAACAGCTTCCTGGTTGATGCTGTACTTTCCTTTTAACAAAGCACCATGAAAAACATGTTTAATAACCACAGTCAACCTTAAAGGAAGAAACTATTACAGTCGACAGAGATGGAAACCAAACTGCAGGAGCCAAACCGAGCACTGACTCCTCAGAGTTATAACCGAGGCTGGCTTAATAGGGCGTGCTTATTTTGTTTTTCAACTTAATGTCACTGGTGGATAACACAATACCTGCTTCGGTGCAGTTGTAATCCTCCCAGCAAGCTATTTATCTCCAGTTTTCTTAGCTCACTCTGCGCCAGGTCGGAATGCAGCAATTTCAGAAGAGGGTTAATATAATTAGAGTAAAGATAGGCCATTATACTGTGTGAAAAGATGACACCCGCTCGGATTGGCCTAGCAACAAGTTCCCACTGCCTCAGCAAAGCTCATCTGTCAGCTGTCTGAGGTGGGTTCCCTTTTAAGTAATAACATGCAGGAAGCAGCTCACCCCCCTGTCAGTCAGGCTGCAATCGCCTAACTGCCGCACGCTTCAGTGCGTCTAGTTAGAAGCCCTCACCCATCTCCTTTATTAGAAGGCTGAGCGGCGCGCTGGTGGTGTTCTAACAAGGATCAGGCAGCAGGATTAAGCACTGTGACAAAGAGGATCTAATAAGCTAGAAAGTGGTGCATCCACAGACACGCTGGCTGGCTCCCAGACAGTGATTCACTCTGCTCCCTCCTCAGTGGGAAGGCCCAGGCCACAGGGGAAGGCGGCCCTTGCCGTGATTAGCGGTGACCCGCTGCCCAACGCTGCTATGAAGATCATATATCACTCAGGGGCTTATTCTGCAATTGTAAATTGGATTTTCCATTTTATTACCTGCAAAAGGACCACATATGCTTCTTTAAAAAGCCCCTAGTACAGTAAGCTTTGCCGTGCAACTGTAATTTTGTAAACACTAAATCATGCAGAACAAGCATTCTCCTTGCTAGTTATAAATGTGATTGAATGCAAGAAGCAATTGCTGGCCCATTAATAAGCACACTCATATTCACTTATGGAAATTGGTTGTTTTTATAACCACATGGTTAAGAATTCTTCTCGTGTGCTCAAAATCCTCAAACATGTGGCCAGTAACATTGCTGAGCACATACTAAGCAACTGAAAGGACGCGGGGTCAATTTTTCACGTCATCAAGGCAGCATTCCCTTCCTAATTCTAAAACAGCACAAAGCACTTTTGAAGTGAACATATTCTGAAAGTCAGGCTCTCTCACTCATAAAAATCTAAGGTCGTGGACTAACGAGATAAAACAAGCAAACCATAGTTGATTGGGCAGCCTGTCATTAATGTCGTAGATTTGCCTCAGCCCAGGTAACGGATTTGCTCT